TCGTATGGTGGCAAATCCTCCTCTGATCCACAAGGGTGGCAACTGGCTATGGCGGCGACGATCTGGGTCAGATTTTGTCTAGGTTGACCACGGAACTCCAGGAAACCACAGTGACCAAGACAGGAAAACTCCGAAACAAAGGAAATTATGTTGTGAACCCAACCAATGAATATGGGCCATCAAAGTATCTAAATAAATATCTTGCTAATTAATCACTCAAAGAGTTTTCAGCAAAGTGACATGTTTAGCCCAACTCTTGCCAAAATGAGAAAGATATTAGTTACTAAGCTAACTGCTGTTCGCACATAAAAGCAAAAACGCCCATGCAAACTCTAATGAAATATAACAACTTTCTAGGCAAGAAAGGCAGAAACTACGTTCGAGAATGCTGTTCTCCTTATGAATGAACCTATAGTATCTATTGTACATTTATAAAAAAAAACTATAAGAAACTCTACCTTAAAGGATAATCATGCAAAGTCGATGCCACGTCAACGATAACCTCCGTAGGAAACAAACGTGCAACATCTTCTACCAACGTTGGAATTCTAAAGTTCAAAGAGTCACCATAATAAGCGTTACGAATACTATAGAGGAGAGAATTGGAGTTCACCATGAAATACATACCTAACGACGCATTCACGAGGGTATTGCAACAAGTCAGCTTGTAAGAGTACATCAACTACTGAATCTCCTTCATTACAAAAAGCCAAGGCACTACAAAACCAATCGTCGACTAGCTTCGCAGCTCCCAGTTTAGCCATCACGCCTTCACAAGTGTAGAAGTCTTCCAACAACTTGTCTCCGTTTGATAAAAGAATAGATAGGCACTGTAATATGAACAATCATGCACGTTTCCAAAAGCCAGCAGCATGTGATTGTTATAAATACTCTATTTTTGAAACTAGAAATGTACTTGGTCGAAACTGGCACAGATCTGGGTTATTTCATCCTGAAGATGACTATCAATCAATGATTGCTTCCGTGCCACCTAGAAAACATGAATGTAAACAAGGAACAAATAAGAAGGAAAGAAGAAAGAAAAACTCTGTTGCTCCTAGTTTAAACCACAATTTTACTTTTTATTTGCTTCCTACTACAATTTTCACGGAACGGTATTACGCGAAATACAACCACATTGATGCTGAAATATTACAAAACTCCGGACTGCAGGTGTCTACGGTGAGGATCGAACAGAATATTACCCTTTCCGGCGGCTAATGCGTTTACCACCACACCATGTGGATCCTTCGTTTGCCTGTCTTTCACCAAGTTTTCTATCTACCAAAGCCATGACATATATGCCATGATAGATAGTGATATCAGGCACCGGTAGATAGAAAACTAGAACGAAGGACCTGCATGGTGTGGTGGTGAACGCGTTACCCACCGAAAAGAGTAATAGCATGTTCGTTCCCCACAGCAGACACCTGCGGTCCAGTATTTTGCAAATATCTTAGCATCAATATTTGTTGCTTCTGTTTTTCGTGTTGGAAATGTACATACCTCAATCATGAGCTGCTTATGGCTCATAAATAACGAAATTGCAGAAAGTAGTCGCTTTGCTGGCAATGCTCCACGACCCCGAATGAATTCCAAATACTCCTTTTGGGAAAGTGCATCATCCTGAACAGCGAGAAAATTGCAATTTCTACGCATACATTCTGCTAAAACGTACTTTGACAATAAAATGAACAACGGACCAATATTTGTACGTATCAACTCACAAAGTCCTTATTGAAAACAGCCAGCCGAAGAAACAACGCAAGCGTTGAATAGTAAAGACGATTGGCGGTTTTCGTCAATGAAGGATCCCAGCCATATACCAAACGATACTCATCTAATTCAAAGCTCCTGTATAATTGCCAGTACAAGATTTCTTTTACAAAGCGGAGAAGGTTTGCTTGGATTTCGACGTTCTCCTTACATGGAACGACATCTGAAATTGAAATAAAAACTCATATTATGTACCTCGGCAACGCTTCGAGGACAGCGTCAAATGATTCCATAACACTCGAGTTGTAGAAAATAGTACTCCAGAATGAAGGAGATCGAAGCTGGATAACTCGCTCGAACGTCGATGCCAACGCATTTGCCTTATTCTGCCAAATGTCGACATCCACTTGTGACGAACTATAGGCTAATCGCTTAAGAATCACGCATCTCTCAAGATCGGCTAGCGATTCCTTCTAAATTTTGTATTCACACACGGATAAATTGCCCATTATAAAAAAATTTGGAAAAGTAGGTTCTGAACTAATGAGCACTGGACACAACGATTACCATAAGTTATCACAAGGGTATATTAATGGTACGGTATCTATCTATATTCATATTTTTCCCAAGCCTACAAAACTGTGTCTTGGTGCTTGAATGCATTCCGTTCATCTAATTGGTCTCCCATTCGAGCAGTCGACACGGGTTTACCTCCCTTCTTAAGTAGAGTGCTACTAAGTCATGTGACAGACAACACAATCCGCATAAAACTCTCTCGGTGTTATCAAATCCTGAGAGATACTCTATGCATTCGGCTTCACTAAGCATCGCTGGAGGTGACTGAATGCATATCTGGCCTATACGACTTGCGATGGCTTACCGATGTATCGAGCCAGTCTGTTTTCCTACCAGACAAGTCCGTTACTTATTTGCCGACCCCGGCGGGATGAAAGGCTTCATGAGTTTGGACCGCGGGGATCTAGCCGATGTGTATTGCAGGGTGCCTCCGACCACTGTGCTACACCCCTCCACATGTAACAATAAGAGCCAAAAAAGGAACAAAAAAACATTTGTGTTGAAACAGTTAAATACGGAAAAAAGTTACCAAATCCATCCCGGTCAGCAAGAGTTTCCGTAAAAATATAACACCTGAAAGACAGAATTCTACGAAAAGTGAACAACTGATTAGTTTGCTACGGTGATATTTGATTTAACAAAGAATCTCGATATGGTTACTTTCTATTCCACGCTTCCATGCCATTGTACAAGCAGAAGACATAGTACATTATGTACAACCCGGAGTGTGTGAAATCGTTATGAAACAAAATCTGTGGAGTAACCAGGTTCCTCTGACTGGATGCAGATTTGAACTCGTTTATAAACTCATATAAACAATACACCAAGGAGGTAACAACAAGCTAACAACGTGAGGAAATTGATCGAAAACAAGAACAACAACAACTATGGCATATAAACAACTAAATAACCTTCAGATAACCGATAGACAAGACAACGACACAACTACGTATAACAAGTTAAATTTTCAGTTTTGAAATCGAGTGTTAAGAGTATCAGTGTCCTTCTTGATCAAACACGCAGTTTTTAATACAAGATTTATTCAAGCGTGGCTAACGTTAGACTAAAGTTAGACCTATTAACAGCTGCGTAGATGAGGGAATAGAAAGAATTTAAACTTAGTACTCATCCAGTTGCTGCAACACATTCCAGCAAATCTATGCACATTCAAGTGTTCCTGGATCATCTACGTAACTCACGTCCTAAAAATGTGCCTAAATGGCTTAGCCTTCGGATGGTTTGGGAAATATTACGAACAAATCAGGAAACTGGCAATGTGGCAGAGACCGGCGCTAACTCCTGTCCCATTTCCACTCAACTATTGTTCGCAGCCAACAAGGTGTGGAACCAAATTTGTCTATCATGTCACTTTAACACCACTGTATGTCAGTATGAAAAGGAAACACCTAGATGAGAAATTAAGGACAAATAGAGTACTCAACTAGACCTATATAGAAGATAAAGGAACAACAGGAAAGATATTGAAGTAAAAGTCACTATTCTCGCAACGAGAATATAAGCATGATGAAGTAAAACTTTTGATGTACCTTCGATTAATTCCAAGAACACAGAAATGAATCGCACAAAGCGGTCTTGCGATTATGAGTAACCTGGCGCCATATCTTAGGTTCATTTCTTGACCTGAGGATGGTACATTCCTGATCCAATATAAAATTCTTACGTACGGTGTACAGCCGAAAGTAGAAGACACAAAAGAAACCGGTGAGCTTTTAAAGGTGCTGCTTTCCGCACGACTGGAATATTTTGTCTGCAAGGGTTATGGAAGCATTTGTCTGAGTAGTTTGCGTGTCAGCTTGTCTCTTCCAGGCCCTGAAGAAGCTGAAACTATCGAATCGTTACCTACTTTTCAATAAGTCTTATACTAACAGCTTAGTGTCTGTTCAAGAAGGAAGTATTAACTTAGACATCAGCGCCGACATTAGCACATAGTAGGTCATGGAAAACAGCATATACATTCTAAACAACGTATTTGCTGTTAAAAATGAACAAAAGATAATTAGATCCTAAAAAGGCACAGACACAGACGACACAAGGTCAAACGAGATTTTAAAAAGATATAGTTCGTAGTTGCGGAATAACCAGATAATCAAAAGTTACTCAAATATACGGGATGTTATTTTCGTTGATAATAATGGAATGGAGAAATAAACAGCCTTTTTCATGCCTTCGATTCAATTAAGATGACTGAATGAATTGACATATTTCTCATAAGCTGATGGCAAACCCGTCAGAAAAACATTAGTGTATCACAGAATACGTCGTGAATCGAAAAATTTGAAGAAGTGAATGACAATAGCAAGAGGAAATTTTAAAGAAACTTGAGAACAACGAAGGCGTGAGGTATATACAACACCTGTGAAGAACAGAACAAGGCTGTTACAAAAATCGTCCAGCTTAATTACAACGGAAGGATAATGAATAGTTTGGCGCTAATCAATTCTGCAAGATGTCCCATCCACCCAACTCCATTAATCATCGCAGAATCGACTGGATGCATACTTAGTTCGTACAATGATTTCCAGAGGCCTTCCGATACATCCAAATCAGTGATACCGCCGTTCTAGGCAGGTCTTTTTGACTTGCCCACCCCGAAGTGAACGAAAGTTTGTTTAGCCTATGATGTGGGGTCGAACTAACAACAAAGTGTGAATTGCAGAGGACATATGGTCACTGCTCTAAAACCACCTTCAAACTCTGGTATAAAATTTATTCCTTCCCATTTTAGAACTTTTCCGCTTCATAGGAGGCCACATAACAGTCACTTGACCATGCAACGATTCAGGTAGCCATTCCAAATACTCTTCAAGTAGATAGTCTTCATTTTTGTGCCACTCAGCTATCAATCTGGCTTTTGTGTAAATCTATAAACTGTAAATATGATAAGAAACACCTGAAACAGAATCTACTCAAAGCACTCTACCTCCTTTGACACAAGAGCGTTTAGAAGAGTTTCGGTCCTCTTCTGCAGCTTCGCCCATGACCGGACCATAGTTGTGGGCGGTGCCAACATTTTTGGCACGTACTGAGATAGCAGAGGCATTATCTAAATGGAACGCATGCAAGATTGCACTTTAAAGTAATCCGCTCTAAAAAAAAACCTAGTCCATACTTCCGTACGTTCGTAATTATTATGCGTTGGGGTTACTCGATGACAAAAAACCAACCTGTCTCGCCGAAGATGTTAAACATTTGAAATGATTCGGAAAACAGTTACTCACCTCTCCAGCTAACAAAAATTGAGCAAAGTATCGATACAGCATAATATCATTAGGAACAGGCCGATCAACAGGATTAAGACTCCATTTCAATGGACCAAATGTAACTTCTACACGCTTCACTATTTGATCTTTTACGGCGTCATATCTGTAATAAAAAAATTTAACGAAAAAACCGTACTTCTTGTGCAACATGCACTCACCTTGGAGCCTCTTCAGGATCCACTGGGGAGAAATCGCAGTAATTCTCAGCCAATCTAGTCAACCACTCATGATCGACCATCATCAAAACCTGCATGCACAGTCGATCTTTCATTTGAACCACTTGCTGATAGATGACATAATCCGGCTCATCCGTATATAATACACTAGATGGATCGATGAAAACAAATTCCTGAAATACTATTCAGTAAAAATAAGGATAAGACTTGTAATATATGATTTATTCTTTTAGACACTATCAAAACACCTGCAACTTCATGGTCTGATAAGCTCCTTTCGGTACCTCTTGATTGTCACATGAACGGTCTACACGCCGAGCAATGTGGTCTGCCAGTCCCGCCACCATAATTTGTCTCAAATAGGCGTTTGTTTTAGATGACCAATTTATTGTGCTATCTGCAACCTACCGTAACAATTGCACTTGTAAGTCAGATGGAGGAGGGAGGTAAAGATCCATGACAACATCAGTAGACTGCTTGAATGACGTATTTACAATATTTGTCAGCTGTGTTCGAAGTTTTCGTATTTCCAACATTGCCTTGTGCCTCAATCCATGCATGATGCACTTCAATGGATCCATCTGAGATTCATCACAACTTAACCGCTATGTGGTGATAATATAGCAATACCATACTCTTAACACATAGAGCCCTATGCTTAACTCTGGCTCTCACGTGGGGTGAATAACGTCAATTTCATTTCAGCTTTTCGTCGCCATTCAAAAAAAGCTACCACAGTACAATAAGCCATGTTAGTTCTAGGATTATAAGTGAAAAACTGTGAGTAGTAAAGCCGATCTTTCGGCACAACGTTTAAAAAATAAGTGTAAAGTCACAGCAATAGGGATTGATACCGTTTCCAAAGACCAACAATCCTAAAGCACATTGATGAACACATGCTCTTTAAGCACATTCAAGACCGAGCCACATCAATCCTATCAACAATTTACCATCTATCATTAAAAATTGAAAATGTGGCTCAAAGTGTCGAAGTAAAAAGGAGAGTAGAGCTTTTAATCAGCAATATATTTTGCTATGAGTACTTCCTTCAACAACAGTCCCTCTCCTCTAAATGAACCGGTCCGAAAAAAGGTCTTATGTAGACAACTGAGTCAAAAACAAATAGCTTTTCAACGGACATACCTAATATTATATCTGTATTGGACAGGCCATCGATTAGTTTTCAAAAGTACGGGAAAAATTTTCTGTGTAAAATAAACCACTGAGAAGGAAGAGCAGTGGGGGCAATGATATGATGTAACCCACTTCTACCACACATCCCTTACGCATGTAATGCATACAATGCGTTTCCGTTGTTATGTGATAGTAACAAGACAATGTGAAAACAACTAGCCAACCTTTTCCGCCTTACTAATAGCTAAACAATGTGAAAACAACTAGCTAACCCTTTCCGCCTCACTACACCCAACAGCACGCATCAAAACTAGAAGGTCTCCTAGACGACGACCAGGACCCTAAATAGATATTTTTGAGATAGATCAATGAAAAAATAAGATATTACGCTTCATAGTCATGTTTCTACATAAATCAGGCAGAATTCACCTTTCCGCACCATTCCCTTCTCATCTTTAGCAACTGGGTCATCTTTTCCTTTGTTTCCTCAACACTTTCACCACGAATCGATGAAACAGGAATCAATGGCTCTCGTACTGTAAGAAACCTACGGGTAAAAACATAGGTACAAGAAACTTTCCCAATTGATTGTTATTCGAAAACTGTTATGAAAACGCTATATGTAGAAAGCGATTAACATTAGCAGCGATTAACTAGTCAACAGTAAATTAACAAATACAGTTGGATCCAAATGCCTACAACGTCCCTATGAGGACTAAGGAAATAATACTTCATTATACCTTAAATGGTTCTCACTAACTATTAGCCGCCATCTTCTGTCTCGTTTTGTAATGCAATTAGATTATAAACAACAAAAACTCACCGGAAAGCGCGGCAACGAGTAGAATAGCGTGGGGCAAAAGCCCGTGTTGATTCGCCATAGCAATAACTTTCGCGTACGCAGGTGCAAGTGGAAATATTGACAGTGTGCGACCCAATGGAGTGATACGGGCTTCGGTCTATAAAAGACAAAGCAGTCGCAACAAAGTTTGATGGCAAAGATTAAAATCTATGCCTAGGAAGTATTAAATAAAGGATAAAAGAATAAAGTTCTCGGCGTTGATTTATCTCTGAGGGATGCGCCATGCATCCAACCTCATTAAGCATCGTCGGAGGTGAATGGATGCATATCTGACCTTTGCAATGACTTGTGGTGGCCTATAGATATATCGAGCCAGTGCTGCTATTCTCCTAGAAAAACCTGGTACCAATCTGCCAACCCCGGAGGAATGGATGGTTTGGTGCGCCTGGTGCGCGAAGTTCGATCCCATGTGTATAGTGGGCGCCTCCGACCACTGAGCAACACGCGCACTAGGTAGTATTACAAGCAAAAGCACTTCGCATTGAATATCTTGAAGACTAAAACAAAATATACTTTAAAATAAGAAATTTTTCAAGAATATAAACCCAGCATTGCTCTGACATATTACCATGAATCACCAACCTTTCCATTTTTCGTTGTAACCTCCAATGCTCCTAATTTTGTTAAACGTTTCTCAGCTGCTTCTAATGCCTCAGAATCAGGTGCAGATGGAAACGGAAAATTGACAACCTGGAATAAAATGGATAAAGGAAAGACGAATAAACATGTTTTTAAAAAGGTTAAATGAAAAGAAATTGGCTATAATAGTAGTAAAGCACGGAGAAAGTTCGTTTAAGAGAGCTTTTTAAGAAAAAAGCATAGTAGCTAGAGATATTAGTTTGAAAACTCGTCGCAACGAGAAGAATAAAGACAGAGAATAAACAAGGAAAATCAGATCATAAACAACTCCTCGCCCAAAGAAGAATAAGTTAATATGAATTGCTAAACACCAATTACCGAGAAATCATCTTACGCGTACTTCCGGTGGTTCAGTAAACAGAAAAAGAAACCGAAACAGGAATCAATAAGGAAGTCAAAATAGCACTAAACAGTCCTCAAGACTTCTAATCTCACGTTTTTCACTTCTGAATAGCTTCAATAACTATGAGTATTCCATATAAAAGTATTTTAATTTCGCGGTGAGAACACTTTTCGTAGGAATCACATTATTACCTTAACAATATTCATCGACTTCAAGTGTAGAACTAGTTGATCAGGTGGCTTGTTAAGGATCTCAGGACGAGAGAATTCTTCAAAAGTTTGAAATACAGCTGATGAATAGAGCCTTAAAAGAAACCATGCAGATTCCTTCAAACTTCTGCGGATTAAATTCCTTCAACGACGTAGAATGAAACCATATGCGTCAAGTCGCCGTGCATTTGTTATTTGTTTGATGTATCTACACCAACAATTACTACCGTTCAGCAAAGGAACACTACTGCTGCAACTACTTCATCACTACCAGCTAACCATCAGACACTTTTATATTATATGAAGTCATAAGTTGAAAAATAAACAATTACGACTATTAAGCCAAAAATTAGTATCAACTTTCTCAACGATGATTCTAACCAGAATAGAATTTCCTCTTCTGACATGCAAATTGCCTTCAAACTATTTACGAAACTTATTTCTTTCTGTCGTAACGCAAGTCGTAGACCTTCGTGAATATGAAGAATTTTTGGAAATTTTGCATGCACATTTGTCTTCAATTTCTACTGAGGCTCAAACGCTATGGAAATGACTAGGACAAAAGTCCATTTCTAACAAAAGTATTTATCCGACTCATCAATAGATAATGACGAACCTATATGCATGTCCAGCAGCTGTGCGACCCGCTCTACCTGCTCTTTGATCGGCTGATGCCTTACTTATACGCGCTACGACAAACTGGGATACACCGGTAACAGGATCGTAAAGTCTAAATTGAATATGAAGCACAGGGTACTGTTTGAATAGACATGTATGATAAAAAGGATAAGGATAAAGCTCTCGGTGATATTCAATCTCTGAGGGATGCGCCATGCATTCGACTTCATCAAGCATCATTTGGAGGTGATTGAATGCATATCTGGCCTTTACAATGACTCACGGTGGCCTGCCTATGTATCGAGCCAGTGCTGCCATACTCCCGGACAGGTCTGGTACCAATTTGCCGAACCCGGAAGGATAGAAGGCTTGGTGGGTCATGGACGCGGGAATCGATCCCTCGTGTATTCCAGGGCGCCTCCGAGCACTGCGCCACACGCGCTCTATATGTAGAATACATACAAAAAACATGTGCTCACCTACGCTTTTCAAATCCACTGTCCACAACGTACTTAATACCACTAATTGTTAAAGATGTTTCTGCCACATTGGTTGCAATAACACACATTCTGTATTTGGCATTCATTTCGTGAATATAACACAAAAGAAAGTTGATATAGTACCGCTACCTAGAACCATCCGGTGGAGGCTGAAACACTCTTCGTTGTTTCTCCGACGACAGCAAGGAGTACAAGGGAAGACAATAAAGTGGTTGACAGTCCTTCGGTGGATGAGGTATTGTACTGTGCTGAAACGGGATCGATATGATAAGAGACAAGCTTTGTGATACAAATTTTGGGAATGTCACAAATTCAACCACAATATTGCTGAGATAGTTGCAAAACTCCGGACCACAGGTGCCGGCTCTCCAGATCAATCCTGTTGATGGGTCATTGCTGACGGCACTGATCGATAAAACTAGCTAAGAGACAGGCGAAAGAAGGACCCGCATGGTGTGGTGGTGAACGCGTTACTCCCCGTAAAGGACAATAGCACGTTCGTTCTCCACAGCAGGCACCTGAGGTCCGGAGTTTTGCAAATATCTCAGCAATATTGTGGTGGTATTTCGCTTAATACTCTGCCATAAAAATTATAGAAGGCAGAAAATAAAAAGTAAACATTGTCACAAATTCATTTGTTTTTAAAAATACGTGATAAATACAAATGCGCCTGATAAGAAGAATGTTCAGACGAGGACGTAATAATAAGAGGCGGTAGCTACGCCACGGATATCACGTTTTCCAAATGTCATATTTCTCTTTTCGGGATCAATAAGTTTTGGCTTCGGTGATGTAAAATACAAACAGTGCCGAAATATGAAACATCAGATACATACCAAATCATCTACTTCCTGCTCTTCATAACAATCCAACAATTCATCGCAAACGCCAGCTTCTAGCAAATCCTCGCCGTCGAACTTCTGTATGCGCTAAACCTCGGCCAATAAGTTTACATATCTCAAGTTAAATCTCACAGCTCTTGTACAACAGCAACGAAATCCTCGGAAGTCATATTTCACAACTTTAAGACACACGTTTTCGTCGAAATCTTCTAATTTCAAATCCTCTGTCTCCTCTAATCGTTTTCTTTTCCACTTCTTACTGCCATGCAGACATACGTGGCCATCTTTGCTTTTATAATATAGAATCTAAAAACGGAAGCATCTGTTGAAAAGCTGCACTTCTATACAACGTACAACCAAATTCTAATACAGCTATAACAGGAAAAGACATGAGACGATACCAACCACTTTGATTATTATTTACCATACTGCCAAAATTCTACTTCAAAGAAGGCTGAATAGAAGCAGAGACAATAATAAGGGCAAATATTAATCTTCAACTGATGCTAAATTAACAAGCGCTTTAGAAACTATGCACCTATAAAGTTTGTAGAATAGAGAAATGACACACACTTACTTACCTGGATACTTGGATGACCCGTCCTCATTGGTCGTGCGGGCCCCAGCAAAACTTCCACCTTTTCGGAATTTTGCTGGTTTAGCCATTGTGGTTCCCAGGAGTCCTGAGGTCAGCGTAGCCAAAGTGTGCCCCAGGTCCTCACCACCACAAACAGTCGCTACCCTTGCCGATCACAGGGAGATTTGTTACCATGCGACTACTTTGATACCACTACGGTGGTGGATCCCGGTATTGGTTAACTCCTAGCTGAGCTCCCAACTGGAAACGCCGATCTCGTTCTGAGTTTGAGAGAGTCTGCTGGGAGGATAAACCCCCGCCGATATACATCGCAAGCCGACACCCAGAAACACCTCCATGCCACGAAGAGGTGGTAAACAGATGGGAGAGACAAATGATAACGGATTTGAAAAATGATCAATTTGACTTTCTCCTTGTGCCATAAGGTCCGGTATTCGTCAAGAATTAGGCAGAATTTAATCGAAGCTAGGAAAGAAAGAAAACAAGACATACAGTATATCTAGCGATAAGTTTCTTCACCAAATAGTTCACTTCTTGCTGACCAGTAACAAACACCAAAATTCCACCGTCTGGTAGTGCTTCATGAATTCGACATACCTATAAGCAGTTCAAAACTCTACGATTCATAGCCGAAATCCGTTTAATTCCTCCGCAAGATCTAGCCAAACAATAATACCCATCTACAATTACGACGAGCTTTTCAAATTACAAGCCAAAGATCCCTACATTAGACAAACTAACTGGAAGAAAGGATTATAGCAGTAGAAACAAACTTTTCTGAAGGTAGCCGCCATGTAGTCGTCAGGCGTACGTTTCTCAAAATGTACTGTAACTGGGAACTGTCTAGCTTCCACCTGTACAGCTTTTGGTTCCAAAACGGGAAACAATCTAGAGGAACAGTCACTTTGAATAAATAAACTGCTCGCTAAGAAACGCAAACCTTTTATGGGTGAAATCTTCAAGTCGAAGGGTTGCTGACATGATAATCAACTTTAGAGGGTTGGATGTTTTACCACGAAGCGGCGCAATCCTACTCAACATCCCGATCAGGACATCGCTGTACATCGACCGCTCATGAGCCTCATCTATGAGAATAGCAGAATACCTGAAGAATTTTCAAAGAAAAACGGGGCACATTAGGCATAACAGAAATTGCAAGAATGACTTGATAGCAACAGATTTCATAAACAAAGAATTAGATGACCAACATAGATTAACCTGAACTTTAGCTCTTTCAAAACTGCGTCCAATCTCACGTAGAAAGCCAATCGGACTGAGTGTCATTACAGTATATGTTGAAATCAAGATGTATGATGCATAAGCCAAACGATACCAAAAGGTATGACGCAGCGGTCTATTGAGGGTATCGTTCTATTACTCGATGCCACTTTGTTCTTTTGCGCAAGTTACCAATTCCTTGCATACCTGTGTGTGATCTAGACCTTGTGAGTGGACGAAAAAAGTTCATTATCTAACCATGGGGTTATTAGACATCCGCGTGGTTTTCTTATGATAATTTAAATGTATTCCTGAGTTTCTTTTATGTTCCTTATATCCAGTTACACCATTCCACATCCAAAAATAGCTTTTTGCAAGCACAGCACCCTTAGAACGGCTATCCATTGCTTAACGTCAGTATAAAATCTGTATTGATAATGAAAAATCTGGCAAAAAGACCTGCGCGGCAAAATAGGTTAGAAAAAGCGGACGCATTGAAACGAAGATGTACGCTCCGAAACTTGCACCAACGCATACAACAAAATTAATGCGAATGATCTCGAAACCGTTTAAAAGTATTACATCAAAGGAACGTGGGATTTCCTCTAACAGTTCACTTCTTTCTGTTCTTGAACGTAAAACCATTAAATCGAAAATGATAAGCGGGATTAGTCACTATTGCAAATATGACTCATTCTAATATTAAAAATACTGGAACAGTCGATTGCATCAAGAATTATGAACAAAGTAGAACCATTAACTTACTTCTTCAGCATAATATCAGACTCCATCTCTTTCATCAGTACACCATCAGTCATGAATATGATTCGTGTCTTATCCGAACGATTTCCTTCATAACGTATCTTAACAAAAAATTAGAACTGAGGACAATTAATCGCTTAGCCCAAGTGTACATTTATTAGTAAGCGACTTATTGAATCTCCTTTCACGTTTTCTATCACAGCACCCGTAAATTATTTTAACACCTCCACTGTTCAAGCTTCCTTGAATTAAGAACAACCGATTTTATAAATACTAGCTACTTCATTAACGTTTTGTTTTCGGCCTTCTATAATTTTCATGGCAGGTTACTAAGCGAAATGCAACCACAACGTTGCTGAGATATTTGCAAAACTCTGGACCGCAGGTGTCTATGGTGGGGGATGAAAGNCCGATTTTATAAATACTAGCTACTTCATTAACGTTTTGTTTTCGGCCTTCTATAATTTTCATGGCAGGTTACTAAGCGAAATGCAACCACAACGTTGCTGAGATATTTGCAAAACTCTGGACCGCAGGTGTCTATGGTGGGGAATGAACGCGCTATTGTCCTTTCTGGGGGAGACGTTACTCCCCGGAAAGGACAACAACGCGTTCATTCCCCACCGCAGATACCTGCGGTCCGGAGTTTTACAAATATCTCAACTAGTTACTTACTTCTTTGTCATCATTTTATTAGCTTTAGTTATTGAAAAAATCAATGTCCATATAAAATTAAGAAACGAAGTTGGGTTTCATTCGGCAAGTACACAACACAGAACTTCGGCAAGCAATACATGTATATTTAGCTTATGAAGAACGTACAAAAGAAAGCTCGAGATCTACAGTATGGATTCAGACCTGGTAAGAAACTTCGTCAGGTGCACCCAACTCCTGCCCAACACGTTCGGACATAGAAATAGCTGCTACTCGCCGCGGTTCAGTGATCCCAATCAGCTGACCATCGTTTGCGTAACTGAAGTACGTAATAGTTGCGAGCACAGAGAAAACCATTTGAAAAATTCGATGAAGCGACACCGAAACGTTCAACAAAAAACTTAACCATTTTTAAGACGACGTATAGGCATTTAAAGGGAACGATATCGATTTAAAGCAATCCACTCACCCTGCTTCGTAAAGAAACTGAGGGATTTGAGTAGTCTTTCCGGATCCCGTTTCACCACAAATAATCGTTACCTACAGATGGAAACGAAAGGCTAACAACTATGAACGTCTTGATAAAACAGAAAAGCTGGAACCTAGCTAGAAAAAAAAGAAAACACCGAAGTTCAAAAAACATCAAAACAATAATATCTTGTCAACCTGCTCATAGTCCATTAAAATAGGAACGAAAACTATCCACTTACAATGTTCTCATCGATTGCCTCCATAATCGGAATCTCCTCAGAATATATGGGTAGCTGCGAACGTTTAGCTTCTATTTCGGAATCTCTAGCGACTATGACACGCTTCCTCTTCACCGTGGTGATCTTTGACCCATTTGATAAACTGTCATCGCACTTATTGACTTCCTTAAGTTCCAATTTCCAATTTCGAGAGAAGACTACTTTCCACGAGGTATAATGCGACTAATCAAAAGTATTTTTTAAAAAAAGTAAAAGAAATATGCCAGAAATATATAAACACTGAACACGGTTTTACTGCGCTACTCTAAGGGCCTTCGAAAACGCGCGTGAAAAGCACATCAAGTGGTTTCTAGACTTTTCTGCATAGGAAAAGGCCCTCAAAAATATTGATGAAGAAATTCGAGAAAGTTAAATAAATGTATCTACTAGCTGATAGTTAAGAGCACCTGGCATGACTTATTTGAAATCCACTTATCAGTTTTAGGAACGATGTCTAACCGCTAACGCAATATCATTAGCATACAAGAATATTTTGGAACAAAATGATAAATAATAAATTGGAGAAGGACGATTAACAAGCAATGTGCTAGCTAAAGGACATACCTGGCACAAACTCTTTTTATTTGGTCCTATTTCTGTGCAAGAAACCTCTTCATCGATTGTGCACAACATCCTCGCTTCCTTATTACAGGTACTATCTACACTGCTGGTTGAGGGAGTACAGGGAAAAGGCGTTGGTTCGGCTTCGGACATCTGTAGCAAAGGAATATAGCAACGTGCTAACGATCATAAAACGATACGGTATCATTGTGCTAACATTAAATGAAACAAGAATAAAAGAAAATGCGCAGAATGCAATAAAGATGACGATTAACAAAAATGGTACCTTTTATGAAGAATTTCTTTGGAAAAAGTACTCTACCTGAATAGAATCGCTTCTTCCAAGCTCTTCCTCATCACTACTCTCGTCGTCAGTTGGATAGTAATGCTGTAATGTGGGTTCTTCTTGATGGAATAATGTAGGCAGCACGGTTTTCGACGAAAATACTTTTATCTTAGTCGGAAAGCGGGCATCCTCACTACGAGGTCCGCTAAATTAAGTAAAAGATGAAGATATAACCAATGAGAAAGAAAAACAGCAAAAGCTTGGACCTGCATTTATCTTGCATGTGACTTGATGAAGCAAGTTGGTTCAACTTCTTCGCATCTAACTGATATTCAGCTAAGCTGGCGAATAATTCTTCTTGCTAAAGACTTCTGCGCATTTAGAACAAATTCTTTCAAGCAGTGACATAAAAGAACAGCGGAATAAAAAAAGTAGTAAATCAAGTAAAAAGTGACCGTGAGCTTGTTCGCTTTCCTCTGCTGCACTGCAACCAGTTGACGTTTCATCTTCTTTGTTACTTTCTGCCTTTCTTTTTCTTTGGCAAGATTTTTTCCCTTCTTACCACCAGTTGCATCTTTTTTCTTCGGCAATCGGCATCGGCCCTCATCTTCGGATTTACGTTTCTTACCTACACAATATAAAAATTAAAGAAAAACTTGTTCTACCTTAAGAACAACTTGAAGTTAACCTCCGCACTAATAACCAACTTATGGCATAGGATCATTACCCCTTATTTTTGATGTTCAATTCCCAAAATCTATAGTTTCATCCACAATGCCTCAAGAATTCTGTGCGCTGATGCTTTTGAGTCTGGAGGGAGGATCTTAACTGCGATATCAAAACCTTAGAGATATACCGTATCTCAGACTTGTTCCTAAAGTCGTAGAGAACAGTGTTTTTATGTTTATTTAATAGGACACAAAATAACGATGACGGTTTTATGTCGCAGTTTGAGCTCGAACCACAAACTTTAACGCTCAAAACCTCTGCGGCATTTCGAATAAACTTCAAAGAACCAGAAGTGGATACGAAGTAACAGTGCCTTATTGTCAAACATGGCCTAGCACCTTATCTCAAAGTTATTTTCTCAAATGAGCGAGGTTCATCTATAATTATTCGTGAACAAAAAATAGGTTCTGCCACTTTTCATGAAACGAAAGCGAAAGGTACTCTTTAATAGGCTAGGGTATGGTTTTCATACAAGATAGTGACTAGGGCTATAGATTATCTAGCAAGTAATATAGATAAGGCCAGATTCTTAAGAAGGTAAATTGGCTGAAACGTAAGTCATCGAACATCGAAAATACAAGTGAACAACACTGTGCCACCTTAACAAAGGGAGTGCGTAAAACAAAGGAATAAAAACTGAAACAAACCAGGAATGATTACTATTTGATTTGTATCACCGGGATTAGACTGTGTCTGGTTAAGGTCGTAAAACATCTCATTCTGAGTCGTCATCTTCCTGAGAATACGGAGAATGGCAGCTCGTAAAAAACTGGCAAGGATCACAAAATCCTACAAAGGAAGGACTTTGGGAAGTCACTGCTGACCATAACGTTCAGAAAACCGGTACTACAACACGGGCACTGACAATTTCAAAAATCTGAAATAATACTACTTCACTCACTCCCAATAAACTGAAAAAAGAGAAACACAACTGAACGTAACTAATACGCCCTTAGCAAATAAGTTCTGCGAACATTTCAGCATCATAGTGGTTGTACTTTACATAACACGCATGCTTTAAAAGACAATAATAGGCAGTAAGTAGAAGGTTAACACCCACTCTTACCCTTTGTTAACACGACTAAATACTTAAAGCTTTATAATATGTGTCGGATTTCCCCACTAGTCATAAGACGTACTACGGACATTAACAATGACCATATCCCTCAACGCGCGAATATGCAATTTTCGAATTTTTTGCCAGCCGCGAGAAATTCATGTAATATCAATAGGAGTTTCGTTTTTGAGTATGGATACATTGTGGGCTTCGTTTCCAGATGACGTTTCTTCTTTTGTCACAGTTTTCTTTTTTAAAATTTGTAGCTGAAGTTTGCTTTCGCCTCTGCTTATGTTTGGACGTTTGTTAATGTTTACAAAAATTGTATGACTTATGGTGTACCATGAAAGTAAAGGATTAATTTTGAGGGATGTTTCTCATATGAAGAGCGAAGGTTTTTAAAAGATAGTCTGAGATAAGAAGAATGTGGAACGGAAGAGCAGAGCGCAGAGGGGACGTTTCATTTTGCTGCCGACTACTTCTTCGATAGTTCTGTAAGCAGTGAAAATCGCCGCCCGCACACTCCAGTTGGTTTTAGCGACTAGCTTGTCCAGCATTGGCGGTGCCTAAGCGGACAATACCTCTCTCTTCATATTCTCTTTGCACATTGGTCTCGTCGCTGCTTATAAGTACATTTTTTGTACTAAAAATGATTGTCACATTTAGTTGAATATGTTCAAAAGTATTTCAAAACTGACTTTTATTTTGTTTATTGCAATGTTCTAGAGATTCTATATTGCTCCTCTATCAAGTCCGACACCGAGTTCATCTGAGTGACAGCACATGTGCGTCTGGCTTCGACCACACAAGTACGCACCGTCACTGATCGCGATGATAAAAGTCTGTAGTGAGTTAATCATTTCAAATGTTATTCTTTGATTTTGACTGTCCGAGTTTTGCTTCAGTTTCGATCCCTGCAAACCAAAAACGTTTACGTTTGATCCAGTTTTTAACGAAGACGTTGTACATAAAACGAACGAATTAAAACTTTAACAAACAGGAACGAGCAGCGTTTGGTTTGTATCACCGGTATTAGATTGCGCCAGGTTAAGGTCGTAGAAGCGGCGCGTGTGGCGCAGTGGTTGGAGGCGCCACTGCGACACACACGTGGAATCGATTCCCGCGTCCATGGCTTACCAAGCCTTCCATCCCTTCAGGGTCGGCAGATTGGTAGCAGACTTGTCTGGGAGGATAGTAGTAGCACTGGCTCGATACAACGGTAGGCCACCGCGTGTTATGTAAAGGCCAGATATGCATTCAATCACCGCCAACGATACCTAATGAAGTCGAATGCATGGTGCATCCCTCAGGGATTGATCAACACCGAGAAATTTATCATTTATCCTTTTAGGGCCATAAAACACCTCATTCTGAGTCGTCACCTTCCTCAGAATACGGAGAATGGAAGCTCGAAAAGAATCAGCAGCGATCAGAAAACCCTCCAAAGGAAGAACCTGGGAACTCATTGCATCCCATAACGTCCACAATGGCCGTACTACAACACGAGTGCTGACCGTTTTAAGAATATAAGAGGAAACTATGTCACTCGCTCCTAATAAATTGAACCAAAGAGAAATAGGAGTGTAACGAACGCACCACTTGCTTTTGTTAATGTGGGTAAAAACCTTTGCTAATGACAAGGTCTTCAACTGACATCTTATCCAACACAGTCTATACCAGTAACTTTATAGTCGTAAAGTTAAAGTTATCGCAACTGCCATGTTTCTCTAGAAGTCATAAAAAGGCCTATTACGGGCATCAGCAGTGACCGTATACATGGACGCACGAGTGTATAGTTTTCGAATTTTTGCCAAGCGAGGCGAATTCATGGAATGTCAAGCGGTGCATTTTCTTCTTGAGTGGATAAGTTGTCGGCTTCGCTTCTATACGGCGTTTCATTTTCTCTGACAGTAGTTTTTTTTTTTAAAAATGTTTACCTGATGTTTGCTGTTGCGTTTGCTTGTGTTATTGGACGTTGGTTAGCGTGTACAAAAAATGGCAGGACTTATGGTGTACCACGGCATTTCATCAAAGTAAACGATTCATTTAGATGGAGGTTTCTTACATGAGGAACGGAAATCTCGCTTAAATGAGATTTTAAGTATGCGGATAAGGCTGTTCATTTGACTTAATCGAAAATACATCACCTAAAGATAAGAAATCAAGGATTGTTCTTTCCTTAGGAATAAGCATGTATCCTCAAATCCGTGTAGAAACTAGCCATATAAACTTATCTGTGAGCAATTAAATAATCGGTTCTTAAGGCGCTGAAATCCTTCTGAGAAGTTAAACGAAAATGTAATTTATTGATTTTTCATTATTGTTAGGGCTTTAGCTATCTTTTCGCATTAGCCGATCCAAGGCTGGCTAGTTTGTTGTGCTTCTTCATGTTGTTTTTAAAAGCTTGCTGTTCATAAAAATTTCCTAGACGGTCTAAACTGTGCTTTGACTATAGTTAAGGGTGAGTTCACCCGAATGACGACACGTGAGCGTCCTATTTTAGCCACATAAGAACAAATTGCCAGTATTTGTGGTGATAAAAGCCTGTGGTGAGGCAGTTATTTGTGGTATTACTCCTTCATTGCCACTATCCGAGTTTTGCTACAGTTTCAATCCGTGATGTTGCAACGTTCATGAGGAGCGGATTGGTTTCTTATGTCCCATTCATGCTCAACTGAACGAATATCTCCGAGTGCTCCAGTTATGCCTATCTAGGTCAGGAAGTCAACATGTTGAACGATTTAGCTCCAGAGTTGAGCAGAAGGAAGCGAGCGGCTTGGGGAGCTTTCAAGAGCATCGAGGAAGTAGTAAGGAAAACAAAGAACACCCGACGCCGTGCCCACCTTTTCGACTCAAGGGTACTTTCTGCGCTAACGTATGCGTCAGAAACCTGGTGGATGAAAGGTTGTTATTATAAAATTTATTAGGATACAATAGCTGCGTAAGCAGGATGAAAGGTCACTCAGCGGTACCTCAGAGTTAAGAAGGGGAAGGGTAGCCTCGCTTAAGGAAATTGCTCAAATACAACTTCTATGCTGGAGAAATCGCAGAAAAGCGTCGAATTTGGGGGTCACCCGAGCGGTCGCGTAGCAATACCCGACGAGGCGACCAGGGGTAGGACTACGTTCAGTTAATTTTTCGATTAATTGCTGATAGTACCGTTAACATAAAGAAAGACTTGCTAAAGGAAAAGCAAATAAAGGGCGTCAGCGATGCAGTGAGTAACTCGAGAGCCTCAGAAAGGGTGATTGCGGGTTCCGATCAGGGTTGGAGGCTGAGTTTTTGCAATTATCCCCTCATCATTGTGGTTGTAATTCTAATATTCGCATAATGAGAGTCGAGCATCCAGTCACACTGATATCATACCTTGGTGATAAGTTTCTGTACATATAAGCACATTTCGAGTTTGTATATCTTGCTTCTGTCCGCATCTGGGTAGAAAACAGTTAAGAACCTATAATCTTTCCAAAAATACAGGGGTGCGAAACTCTGTGTCGAGTTTGAGTGAAGAAGCCATTAAGCATTACAAGGCTATATACCAATATTAGAATATCTTAGTAAAGTCAATAATGCGAAAGCGTACAAAGGAGAACCTGGATGCTAGCTTCCTAACTTGTTTGTCCCTAAACTGCGCGTTGAGAAGATCGCATCGAATTTGCGTGTCATACGCAAATTCAAGTACTCAGATCCACAAGCGCTGCGACTCCAAGTGGTGATGAAGACCTGAGGCAGATTTCGGCTAAGCTGGCCTCGGGATTCCAGTGAGCCACAATGGCTTGACCAGTAGGTCTCCGAGAAATGGAGATTGTGCTGAGGCCCGGACAATCAGCGAGGACGGGCGGTTCAAGTATCAAGTAAGCAAGTGTGGCATCGAATTTACGCTTTAAAAAACACCTCTAGTGAAATCGGCATTTGGTTCTTCAGCTCTTCTTCAACGGCGGAAATTTTCGACCGTAATTTTAAAGGTGGGAGCAGTAATTTGCAGCTAGTATTTTGTATTTAGTATAAAATAAATTCGTAATTCAAGTGTACAAGTGATATAAGGACAGCTGGACGGGTCTACTCCTCAGCAGAACGGAATTCTTCACGAAGACGAGCAATATCGCACTTGTGTGCCATCACTGTGCCTGCCGCTAAGTCCTCGTTAGCACATACACGATTTCCAATTTTCCTACAAGCCGCGGCAAACTGCAACATTGAGAGCGAGGTGTAATAACTTCATGTGACTTAAATGAGAAGATGTCACAGTCTATTACAACTTTTATGTTTTCCTGTAGTTGCTGTTGCAGAAGTAAATCATATGGGGCGGAGAGAACGGTGGTAGCGATGCCGGTTATTATGAGCGTTGCTATTTCGTTTCCGCTCCCGGCCAACCAATCGTCTCATCCTTCCGGGGGCGAGAAATTGGTACCGGACTTGTCCGGGAAAAAATCACTCTCTGCAACCCAATTAGGAGCGCTCCAGCCTAGCTATTTCAGTACTCCAGGGAGAATCGACTTGGCCAGCATTCCACGATATTCAAGATAAAATGAAAATTCTTAAGCAATAGCCGAAGCTACACGTAGAAAGTTGGGAGATGTTCGTGCATAATGGATGCGAGGAAGCGAATCGAATGTGAGAAGTGCTGGGATCCGCATAGTAGACATGAACATAGGTCGTATAAGGACCAAAATTAAGAAATCAAATCATGGAACAAACTAAATCATTGTGTTGAACTCACCATTTTTCTTAAATACCAAGGCTGTAGATAGAATTGCATTCCCACAAGGAATAACATACCCCTAGTGCCTAATATTACCAAGTAGTAACGGTCCGCCAATTTTCTAACGGAAGCCAATTGTGTTCCGTAATGAATCGAGCTGTAAATACCACAAAATGTGTTTCAGAATCTACCCTTTATCAGGGTGGGTATTTACGATGGCTTCTTCCCTGCTATTAGGTCTTAGTGAATCTCGCAAAATATGGGTTAACTCGGAGTCGCGGTACGGTGTATGCTCACCACGACGATTTACGTCTGATAGCGTTTGTACAACGAGGCCCAGTACAACTAGTGATCGAAACAAATAGTAATCAACATCAGCATATAGGGCGAAGCTAAGACAACTTTTTACCAAATTGATATTTACTGCTTAATTGAATCGGTCACCGAAGGCTTTTGATTATGTCTGCCTCTTCGATCATGCACAATCCACGATGTTTAAGGTAGCACACTTTTTATTTACAATGCCGTTCACTAGCTCATTGGTCTTCACCTAAAAATGGAAGTATTTACCATTGATGACAGCAGCTTCAAATATCAAACCATGATATTGGGAGCAATAAATATATCCACGATGAGAATACTGTGCGATCGTGATGACTCCCGATTCATTGCCGTTTCAGCTGTACGTCTTGCTTCCCATCCGATTTCAAGAACCAGGAGTGTTTTTAGCTGTACCAGAGTTATCAAAGTCTAAATTTCAGAAAAGAACTAAAAGCCGACCCGTATGATATCAATGCTGGACTGAACTCTGTGTTCCCAGACACCAAGCGACTGAACGCTCTGCAGAGTCATTTAGTAGTTTATCATAATGAGAAAGCAATTTTTTCTTTGTTACCTTCGGATCACTTCGTTTCGACAGTTTTGCTGGTAGCCCTCACTCATTAAGTCGTGGAATTCATCATTTTATTATTCCAAGAATTGGCGAAAAACTTCAAAGTTTAAATTCCCGCCTTTTCGAAATTGAAGACGTAGGAGTATTTAAAGCAAACTTCAGAGATGCCGTTTTACCTTCTTAAATAGGGCTTCGCACGTGTGTGGCATAAGATCTCGATGGTGACAGTCGAGAAGGCAGTTCTGAGCATTCGGTGGTCCAAACATCGTGTACGTCTTCCTCGGCCCAGTTTGACCTAAAATATCTCGAGAATCTGATATAATATAAAAATGGCAGCTGTTGGCGAAAATGAAGAATCCACAAAGTCTACATTAGCGAAGATCGTTCCACTGTATCCATCAACACAACCGTCAACAATACGGTTTCCTTCGTGTTGAAAATCAAACGTGCTGCTTCTCGTATTAAAATCAACTGCGCCCTTTTGGCAATAATGTCCTACGTTCTTTATTCCAATAGGATAAAATTCTTATTTCCTGGTGCGAACAAATGCTCTGAGTGCGTTTTGATCTGCGGAACTGCTCTGAAAGAGCAGGGTTTAGTTTCTCTAACTTTAGCTTATGTAATGCTCATTGTACAAATTGAGGTACGGCTTCATCGTACGTCAGCTGAGATCCTTTCGTCTTGCCTATTGCGGATCGTTCTCGTTGAAGTTTTTGTGGTTAGCTGATATCTTCAGTCCATTTTTTGTACAGCATAGATGACAAATTTGCCCTTATATTTCTTCTAGTTGAAGTTTTTAGACTCTGTATAGTTTTATCTTGTGAGTAATTTATTCTAAATTGTGACTCTTGAGCTACCCGAGTCTTTTCTTGTACTGTTATTCATAAAATGATAATAGTGTTGTTATAACATTAGTTTAGGAGGCCGATATTAGTGAACTTCCTTTACAGCTCGGTGCTTCACAATGAGGATAAACACAAACTTCAAATCAGAAATGAAGCTGTGCAGAAGGAAAGCCGTTCACACTTAGTGTCTTGCCAACACCTGTTACTTATTTTTGTAAGGAGGCACATAGTTTTTATATTCTTTGCAACCGCAAAAAATACACTTCTGGTTAAGATATTCTTATGGGCAAAAGGAGGCGAAGTTTTCCAGATTATTGTATCTCTTCGTGCAGCGGAACAGGAAAAGAACGAACTTATGTAACGTTATGGAGAATTGAAGGTTCGTAGAAACATCGAACATTGTTGCTATAACTTCAATGATGCTGAGATATTTGCAAAACTCCGGACCGCAGGTGTATGCGGTGGGGAACGAACGCGCTATTGTCCTTACCGGGGATTAGCGCACTTCACAACCACACCATCCGGGTCGTTCTTTTTTCCTGTCTCTCAGCTAGTTCTATCGATCTTTTGCCATCAGCAGTCACCCGTCAACTGGATTGATCTGGGAGGCCCAAATCGGCAACGAACCCAGTTAAGTTGAGGCCGCAGTTACAATCACAATTTAACGTATTATTTACTTCCTACTCTTTTTAACGGCAGGGTATACATTGTGAAATATAACTTCAATGATGCTGAGATATTTGCAAAACTCCGGAGCGCAAGTGTATGCGGTGGGGAACGAACGCGCTATTGTCCTTACCGGGGATTAGCGCACTTCACCACCACACCACCCGGGTCCTTCGGTTTCCCTGTCTCTCAACTAGTTCTATTGTTGTTGCTATAGTTGATCTGCTTTTTCTTTTGACACTTTTTTCTTCCTTTTTTCCTAACTTGTCAAAAGAACTACTCTTATATAATGCTTTCCACTTCTGCTCAGCAAACACGAGGTGCTATTCCACTATAAACCAAATACCCCGCTAGGCACGCATAGGACCCAGAGACATAACGGGGAGGACATTGAAGTACGTGTCACGATCCTCGCTCAAGAATCAAGAACACAAGCGCGCAAAACTCTCGAGGCGTTCTGGATTAATTCCAGAAAGCCGAAAATGAACCGCAGGGAAGAATGCCTCATTATCACGCGTGATATAGGACAGTATATAAACCTGTTATTCTGATGGGAGGGGCACATTATGCTTCCATGTGAATTCTGTGCGGTTGGTCTTCACGCGACATACTCAGTGAAGACTCATAGAAAGCGGTGAGTGTGCAGAGTTGTGTTCAATATAATTGAAATCTTGCTTTAGCGTTTTCTCTGTTTGGTTATGAAGGTGTTTGGTCGAATAGGTTGCTGTCAACTTGACCTTTCCAGAATCTGAGGAAAGCGAAATCCGCCGAAACGTCAGTTTTACGTGAGTGGGGAAGTGGAATAGCAGCTCGTGTTTGCTGAACAGAAGTGGAAAGAATTGTTCAATCAATGCCGAGGATAATAGAAAGTCGGATGTGGGAGTTACTACAAGATGTACCAGCAAAATACTTCCGACTTGCAAAAGAAGCACTGTCACTAAGACAGAAGATCGTCTTAGCTCGATAGTCAATACACTTCCTCCGCCGCTGTCTAAAACATCGAGTCGTTCCGAACTTCAACAAGCGAAAATGACTACACGAAGTATGCGGACTGGTAGAGGATAGCCACCGAGTGCTGGACATCAAATTGCAAGTACTACGCACCTGTCTACGAAGCAAACAAAACCAGATGTTCACCAAGTGGAAGAAGTGCAAGAAGAAGGAAAACTATTGCGTTCAGTTTTGTTATACCTTTTTATTTTCTGCCTACTATAATTTCACGGCAGGGTACTAAGCGAAATACAACCACAACGTTGCTGAGATATTTGCAAAAGTCTGGACCGCAAGTGTCTATAGTGGGGAACGAACGCGCTATTGTCCTTTCCGGGGAGAAACGCGTTCACCACCACACCATGCGGGTCCTTTGTTTCGCCTGTCTCTCAGCTATTTCTGTCTATCTTTGCCACAGCAATCAATATTATTGTGTTCAGTATTTGGATGACCGCCTCTGGAAGAAAATAGTGGGTAGGTCAGTGTTGATTTGCGACTCTATTAGGTCTAATGCTAAAGTAACTTTGCGGAAAAAATTCGAAGACCTTTTGAGTAAATCACATAACACAGCTTCAATAGCGCACGGAAATATCGCTAACGAACATCAAACAGGTTACAGTAGGATAAATAATGTGCAAAGAAATTCAAGGCGAACCGTGTTAGGAGGCATGACTCTCCCTGACGGTGCGCGTTCGTTATTAGAACTGGGACCAAGTTTCTCACCATTTGAACTCAATTCTAAGGTAACCTTGCGTAGGGTCGCATGTAGTTTACATGAACTTCAAGATAGACTCCGCAAAAAAGCTGGAGATGAAGCCCTAAATAGGCGCGAACAACAACAAGTAGTAGCAGTACCAGTACCACCATTTCCTCAACCGTTCTTTATACAACAAGGGCCCAATAATGAAGCTGATTTTAATTTCGGACGTTTAGGAATGAAACTTTCAAGGTCCTTAATCACTATTACGCGAAAAAATACAGCTCAAACCTCACTGAAGTGCAAACCCGTGGTATGCGAGAGGTTAAAGAGCTGATAAGGTTGAAAAACGTAAGACTATCCGTTAGTGATAAGGGCGGAAAGTTTGTAATTCCCATCAGTTAGATGTTGAGATAACGGAAAAGCATCTTGAAGATGCTTCGCTTTATCGCCCATCATCTGAGAAGGAATTTTAAAGTAAGTACCGAGAATTAAACCTTGAATGGACCAAAATGGCAAGGGCTGCTGGTTTAAAACCATCAGTTATCTCTCAACTAAAAATTGATTTACCAACATGTCCCGTCTTGTACTTGCTTATAAAAACTTATAAGTTAGTATCCAGCGATGATCTTGCGTCTACTGATCCATCATTATTTAAGGTTAGACCTATCATTAGCCAACGGATAGGATAACATGGTTTTTAACCTTAATATTTAACCAGTTGTTGAAACACATTCCAGCCCATCTTATGAATACCCAAATGTTCTTGGATCGTCTACGTGCTGCGCAGCCTTCGACTTTATCGCCCTTTATACGAACGTGTCGCTCCGCTATGCAAGCCATATTCGAACTCCTCATACAACACGAAGGAAAAATAAACATGTATGGCTTCAAGGTGGAGCAGTTGATGGCACTCTTAAAAGAATGCTTGAGCCGCTCAAACTTCAGATGGTCCGGAAAGTACTACGCTCAAATAAGAGGGTTGGTAATGGGACAACGACTGGCACCAAGCCTTTCCATTGCGTTTATGTCTAAGGTGGAAGTACCGGTGACTGATCTCGGGCCGCTACTCTACTATAGATATATAGATGACTGTTCTGTCCTTTGCTCAATACAAGAGGAAATGGACAAATGTTTCGAGTTGTTGAATAAACATTCAGAGTATATCAAGTTCACCCGAGAGAAACCGAAAGAAAAATGGCTTCCATTCCTGAACGTCCGAATTAACCTATCAGAAAATGGCTACATTACGAAGTGGTACCGAAAGGGAAGTAGTAAAAACATCCTGGTACATTACCTCTCTTCTCACCCCTCTCACACGAAAAGAGCGCTTGTAAGAAACATGTTTCGGACAGCAACCAACGTATGCACGGGAAGAGAGCAGAGAGAGGAGTCCAGGAACTTGACGCGGAAAATAGCCATTTCCAATGTTTGCACCTATCGATGCTCAAACTTCACGTTGCAGACAGCGTTATCCAACACCAGCCGCTTGACTGTGTTCCGTAGATGACTCACCAGTCGTGGTCCATGGCACCATTGGTGCTCATGTAACTTACTATCCTCGTCGATTATGCTAAAGTACACCGCACAACTATAAAGATGATCCTTAGATCAGCCGAATACACAACCCATTTGCGTCAGTCTGCGCCGAGCATGCCTTTCTCTCAGTCCCACTGCATTTGCCACGACAGTGCGAGCGTTGTATCGCCTATGGCTAACTAATCGTTATTGTTATGTTGTTATTATTGCTATTACCGTTGTATTGATGTTATAGAAATATTGCAAGGATATTATCTTGTTATTAGTCTTACTCCACTAGTACCTATAGCATCTGATAACTTTAACTGGCGGCATTCTTATTCCATTACTTTTCTATCGTTATTCTTGTGTTATCGATGTTGTGTTTATGCGTTTTAAGGTTTAATTACCGACGTTTGAGGTGTTGCTAACTAAACATTCAAAAGACCCGCGTGGTGAACTCAACAACACAATCAAATCCACCTTTCCGCGCCTATCCCTTTTGTACACTTCCATTTTTGTTTCCTTACTTTCATTGCATGTGAATTTTATCTCATTGCTTTGCTCAATTGTACATTAGAGAAATTAGAGAAATTATAAATGTATACAATAAACACTTTCCTTACTACACGGCTGTTTTGTGATATGGTTGACTTTCCATCAAATAAAAAGATCGGAGATAATCATCGGTCAGTACGTTGAGTGGTACGTAGCTACTGCCAAAGAAACTAGTAATGCAAATAACTAGAAGTAATAGTAAACTAGTAGAGGCAAGAGGAATTGTATCAACTAAAGGAAGCTTATAGGCCAAGAAAGACCTAGTTTGTTCTCTTTCTCCGTTTCCATGAAAGAATCTTTGCTATCCTTTAGATTGCCATGGAAGAATCGTCTATAGCATGGGTACGTGACGGTCATAACCTATCCGTCAAGCACAAACTCAACAGCGATTTCGAGAAGCTGCGACAGACCTTGCACGATAGAATATTTTGTTTACCTGAACACTAAAAGTAAGAACTGTGTAAGGTCAGACATCGTCCACGTAAGATCTTGTATGGAGCATGTTAATAAAAGGATAAAGCCGTCTACGTTGATCAATCCCTGCGGGATGCGCCATTCATTCGACTCTATTAAGCATCGCTAGAGGTAGTTCAACGTATATTTGGCTCTTA